CCTGATTACTTCCTTTGTGGCTACATGCAGGTCGTTCACCGTCAGTGACGTGTTTTGTTGCTCGTTTTTCTTTACTAGATATGCTTTATACTTTAACAACCACGCAACTAGGCGGAGTAACTTAGTCCAAGATTTGACGTATTTAAACCGTGAGATCAGATTTATTTCCTTTGGCTCATCAGGTATATTGACAAGCGACGTAAATACAGTACAATCCGTCTTTGCGGCACTAGGTGGAGTCTGAGGCCATAAGCTGTGATCTAGTGTCAAAAATGAAGGCCCATCTAACCAGCGCTTGAGCTTTGACGCATCGGAAGCGAACACGCTACGAGACGCAAGGTCAGCAGGATTGTATTTTGTCGGAACATATCGCCATTCTTCGACACTAGATAAGTCCAGTATAACGGCCAAACGATTGGCAACGAAGGTAGGAAATCTCTTTGATTGGTTTCGGACGCTATATAAGACGATTAATGAGTCCATCCATGAGGTTGTCGAAGAGATGACAACTCCACTGTCGACTTGTATCTGTTTCGCCAACTTCGCTGCAGCCACCGCCGCGACTAACTCTAAACGGGGCATCGTAGTCGTTTTAACGGGAGCTACGCGAGCTTTTGCCAAAACAAGTCTGCAGCATGTTTCTCTATTTTGCTCGGTCAACAGAAAGTAATCGACTGCACCATAGCCCGAGTCAGGTGCGTCGTTAAAGGCATGCAAATCAAATTATGTGGTACTGTGAAACCCTGGGCCCTTTATGCACCTAGGTATGACGACATTTTGAATCAGCTGAATCGAACGTGACCATTTCGACCATAAATCCAGCTCGACGCCCTCTATGATTTGATCCCAATGAAACTTCGATTTGAACAACCGCTGGAGTGAAAGTTCAGCAGTTAGAATGACAGGAGGCAAATAACCCAGAGGGCCAAGAAAGGAGGAAACGTAGGACGATATATTCCTTCTGGCGGCGAGTACAGTCATTGGTTGAACATTAAATCTGTAAGAGTCTTGCTTTAGGTTCCAGTTCAAACCAAGAGTACGATGAAGTGATGGTTCGTTTAATGAAAGCTGAACACAGTCCACCGCGCAGTCAGATTCTGGTAATAATTTCAATACCCGTAAATCGTTGCTCACCCATTTCGAAAGATTGAATCCGCTGTCTGCCAGCATCGATTTCAAATGACCCGCGTAAGTACAGGCTCCATCGATTGTTCGGGTGCTGAATAAGCAGTCATCTACATAGAAACATTTTCTGGCTTCTTCCACAACGTCCACATCGTAAGATTTTCAGTTGTCCATAATCGCACGATTCAACGCGAATGCTGCGCAACTTGAGGAGGATTTGGCCCCAAACAAATGAACACACATTCTATGCTCTAACGGGGGCACTTCGAGTTTTTCATTACCCCACCACAAGAAACGCAAAGCATTACGATCTTATTCTGGAACCCGAACCTGGTGGAACATAGCTTGTATATCGGCCACCACTGCGATCCTTTTGCGCCAAAACCTAAGAAAGACACCGATGAGCGAAATATTTAAATCGGGACCTGACATCAAACTTTCATTCAGAGAAAACCCTTTGAAAGCTGCGGCGCAGTCAAGGACTATACGAAGCTTTCCTGGTTTCCTTGGGTAAAACACGGGATGGTGTGGAAGATACAATTTCAAAGATGATTCTTGCGCTCGTTCCGCGTGAGACTGTTTCAGATATTCGCTCATGACTTCACAGTAGCGTTCACGCAACTCGTCGCACTGCAAAAGCCGTCTACGCAGCTGGCTTAGTCGACGGAAGACGGTTGACTTGTTATCAGGTAACGAGTAAGGATCGGTCAACCATGGTAATGCTATTTCATAATGGCCGTCTTTGAATATCACGGTGTTTTGCATTGTAGTGAGAGCCCTCCGGTCTAAAACGGACGTTTCCCTGTCTTTTGTAGGTCCAGGATCCAGCATATCTTGCTGGTAAAAACGCTCTAGGTTTTTCTCAAGTTCACATATTGTTGTGTGATTTACAAAGGAATGCTGCGTACCACATTTATATAATGGACCCATCAATGTCCAACCAAGTGGCGTTTTGATAGCGAATGGTTCGTCTGGGGTGCCTTTCCGTTGTTCCTCTATCCAATGGGCCTTAGGTACATCGGATCCGAGCAAAATACCGATCTTTGTGTCGTTGTATTTATCGAATGGGACATCCTTTAAATGTGTCCATCTTGCTAGCTGGTAGTGGTTCGGAACAATTCGGTTAATTTTAGGAAGGTTCTTCACCACCCATGCTTGTTGAACACAGATTGGTCCATTTGAACCCGAACAATCTACATCAAACCTCACTTCTGTTGACTGAAGAGTTTTATCGTCAGTCAAAGTTTTCAAGGTGAGTTTGGTATGCTGACTACGCAAATTCAGTCTTGTCGCAAGGGCTCGAGAGGTGAATGAGGAATGCGAGCCACTGTCGAGAAAGGTGCATGTACTGATGGTTGGAGCTCCATTTCTGACGATAACTGGAACGATCGCAAGAGCTACACCGCGCGAGGAAACACGCGGAAAGGCTTGATCAGAGTGATGTAGGGAAGTGTGGTGTGATGATATGCTTGGTTCTTCATCATTCTAAACAACATTTAAATGTAACAAATGGTGGTGAAGATCGTTGCATCCGTTGGGAGAGCAGACTGTTCGTGACCTGCAGAATTTCGCGACATGATTCGGGCGTAGGCACAAATTGCACAGTTTACGGCGCATTACGAATTCGCGACGTTTTTCTGATGACTCTGCAATGAATCGCGCACATTGATCAGGATAATGGGCTTCGCCACAGACACCATAACGAAGATCGATACCGGTACGAGGAGCTAACGTTTGTGTAGAATGAATATTTCTATCGTGCATTTGACCGGATAGTGGTGGCCTTTTTCTCGCTTGTTCCTCGGAAGCTAGACTGAGAGCAAGTTCGCCGTAATCCGAACACGGGCTATCAACACGTGCTTCGATAAAGGCAGTAAGGTCAGTAACTTCTGGCTCACGATCTTTTCGTCTGATGTCAGCGACAGATTTGGCCCATTTGAAACGAAGTCCAGAAGGTGATCATTGTACAATGGTCTGAATCGTATGTGTGTAGTTAAGATCGGACGAATAATCCATTTATCTTAATGTTACCTCACACACGGTCGGCTGTCGTGCCAAATCGCATAAAGCGGACGAATCACCATCTTTAATAGTGGGCCCAGTGATCAGGTCGTCGATAAACGCTCGGGCCACCATGTAGTTCTGGCCAAATTGCTTTCTTAAAATTTCCTTCGCGGGCCCGTAACCGTCGTTGGGTCGTAGGACCGTACAATGCACAATCCTTTTTGCTTCGCCGTCACAATATTGTATTAAATAACCCAGGCGAGCCTCACGGTCTCGGTTATGGTCTTCAATGGTACCACTGAACGCTTTCATGAAGGTCCAATAGTCTTTTGCTTCGCACAATATTGTATTAAATAACCCAGGCGAGCCTCACGGTCTCGGTTATGGTCTTCAATGGTACCACTGAACGCTTTCATGCATGAACAATAGTCCTTCGGGTTCCCATTAAAACGTTGCAATTCGCGCTTCGGTAATTCTAGTCGCATTTCCAGGACAAAGGCTATGGACTTCGAATCAGCTGGATCTGATTGGAATTGAGTGTGCGAATCGCATTCGTCCTGATTGCTCTTTCTGGCTTTCACTCCAGGAATTTTTTGCAGCTCAAGTTGAATTTCCAACTCCCTGATGCGCACACGTGAGAGCTCCGGCTCCATATGGCGATTATCCGATGAATGTACTGCGTCAAGCTCTGTAGGAGAAGCGTCACGTGACAATAATGGAGGATGTAATCCATCGCCGGATTGCGACATCTTGAATAACTTTAGGTTTCACCTAAATGGTTGACGCAAGATATGCGGCTGAGATACTATCTGAGTATACGGCACCCAAAGTTTTTGTTAAGTCGAGAAGACTGTCTTTGCATTCGGTATGGTTCTGTCATAACAACAAATAAACAACGGTTATGGATTGGGTTGAAGTGTCAATGGTTAATACATAGCAATGATTCAATACGAACGTACACTCAAGATTGTACCACAGGTCTTTCAGCAGATCCGACTTAAATGTCAAGGAAAATACAGGTGAAGTTTATACTCCAAGCAGTGTTTGAAATGTGGAATGAGATTCATGAAGTGTCGGTAAGTGTGGAGAGGTTAACAGACGTTCACCGAACGTTACACTCCCCCCGGAATCGACAACTGAATCGGATCGCCGCTTGGTGGAGTGTCAAGGATCTCGATGTTTTCTTCGAGCCTGCATAAGTGGCGCA